TTGCACCCGTAGATCAGGATATGATGTGCAGTATTCATAGTGGCGTTCGGCTTAAACTCCACTAAACATACAAAAGTCGTATTATTACTCATTTTAATGACATTGGGATGAGAGGGATGGGATGCAAGAACTTTCCTACAAAATGACTATTAAGTTGTAAAGCATACAACTAGTATAACAAGTCTATAACTCTAAGTCTAAGTCTATTCTTCACTTTGTCGGCGTATTATATTTATGCATTCAAATCAAGATAAATTATTAAATCATATCAAGTCTATCAAATTATTTCACCATTTATTATAACATTTCATTAATGCTATACTGTACAGAACAGCCTATTTTATTAAATTATATTACGGTATGAAATTTATACGAAATTCAATTGAATTGATTTAATTATTTTGTAAATTAATTTTCTTAAATTTATAGCAAAACTATTGATTATTTAGATATTATTAGTTCCGTTAAGCTGTAATTAAAATGGTAATTAATTATATTTAAAGGCAAATGTTTTGTTAAATTTTTTTTAAACAAATCTAACTTAATTGTTCAGATAGAAAACAGAATTTTATATTGAATAGGAAATATTGCATAAAATATGTTCAATTAAATGTGTTTTCATTATTACAATTGATTGCATACCTATATATCGATGGTCTCGGGAATGCATTTTGAATGCAGTGCACAGATATGTCTCTTTCTGTAACATAATATTTAACAATTATATTCAAATTTGTAATTATATTCAAATATAATATTGTTAATTTTAATTTAATAGTTTTGTGAAAATAACCGGTAAATAGACTCAATTCCGGTAATCCTTATGAAATTTTTAAAATTGATTTTAAATCACTTTTTAATGTTAGTAAACTGGTAACAAGTTTTGTTATTCTGAATACATTAGAATATGAATACAAATTCTGTTATCTTTTTTATCTTTTATCTATGAAAATATTAATATTAAGTTTAAACATGAATTTAAATAAAAATGTTTTTATATTTATACTGAAAAGTTAATACAAAACTAACAACACATCCATTAAAGCAAATCGACGGCACTTTTAGTGACTGTTAGAGCATTGAAATTAAAACAGGATTTGAAAACTACAACAAACCATGAAATTACTGCTGTAGTCGAGTATACAATTTGCTTGAATCTGACTTTAGACGCAAACATTTAATCAATTTTCTCAGTAAATATAAACACTGACTCACGAAAAGGTCGTCGCCAGCAATTGAAATTTTAAATTTACCAGTTTTTCATTAATAACTTTTCACTTATACTGTAATATTCTCCATTATTGCAATACTTAATTGAGTTGTAATTATACAGTATCATTTATTGCTGTTTATTAAATGGTTATATTAGTCTTAGGAACTCACATCTAAGTTAATTGTAATTTTAATATCAATTTTCATACTTTACATAAACTAACAAATGAATCATTCCCGTAAATAGATATATCTATACTAATTAATTAAGATACTGTAACTACCATGTCTAGATTTGTGGCAATGTGTATGATATAGTGAATGATACGGGTCAGTTACTATATGAGATCTAAATTCTAGACTATTTCATCTGTAAACTTTAGGTTCCTAGACTGCCCAGTGAACTATGTTTGACCTTGTTCATTAATATACAAATAGTGCTGATATTGTGTGTTTTATTCACAAATTGTGATTCAATTTACAATCACTATAAATGTCATTTAAGTACTCATTATACATGTAATGATTCACTGATTAAATTGATTAAATAAATTGATAACAAGTTTATAGTAAACGTCAAAACAATATATTAATGAATGAATGGTTAGAGAAGACAATTAGTGATAGATTGCCATCAATTAAGACCAAATCAAAGATTGGCTATACTTTAGAAAAACAAATAGCTTTCAAAATATAGAGAGAAAAGAGTAAAAAACAAAAATATGAGATAAGATTGGCTTTAATTTGCCCACAAATAAGACTATCATTTAAATAAGGCTTTCGTTTGAATTGAAAACACGTTTCTCAGGAAAAAGAAAAAAGTGGTAAAAGTTTGTAGAAATCATTATCTCATGAGACATCGGGCCATGTCTTACATTCAATTAGACACTCGTATGACATATGGAAAGGTATGTGAGATGTATGGGAAAGGGATGACAGACCTGTGTTGGCTGAACATCAGGCATAAGCAGTGGAAAGACAATGGACTCGTCATCTGATGGCAGATCTATTGCCACACAATATGTCAACCATTGCAGGGAACAGATGATGACAACGACCAACAAATTGCTGTTCAAACACATCGTCCACTCAATTGTGCACTAAATCTAAACGATCACTAAATTGAGTACAAAAACAATCAATGGATAGACGTATGAATTGATGGCAATCCTTGTGTCTCAATGTCTTAACACTTCACAAATGTATTGATTTTTATAGCATTTCGTTGCAAACCATTCAATGGCTTAGTATTCATACGTATCCATAGAAACCAATGAATGCCTTTGACGTCAACCCGTGTTTGAGTTCACTATTAATGACAGACACTTGCAGTCCATTCACTCCAACACCACATCCCATCACCACTTCATCCCCACATCACTCAACCCATCCATCACTCAATCACTTCTCCGTCCACTCGTCACTCCATTCAAGACATCTCTCATGCATTCAATTCATTCAGTTTTAGATCGGTTTTAATGGATGTCATGATATGGAGGACTCACTGTACGGGCATTTAATTCACACAAAATGCAAACAATTGTAATGTAATTGTGAATGAATTGAACGGTTGAGAAGTTACGGATAAACTGTGAAAACAATATCTCAAGTGTTGTGTAAACCTTAAAACTTTTGACACTTTAATATATAACAACTTTTTTCATTACAATTAATTAAAGTTTGACAACTTTTGCATAACTTATAGCCTTTCGCATACATTATCTGTCACTTCCTTTGCTTTAACTATAGTTAAACATTCAGTCATTAATTTTCTATTATTTGCTGAATAAATGCATTTAGTAAATCTACTAGCTGGGAGCATTATGTAAACTTTCAATAGTGTTTTATTTGCAAAACAAAGTGATGAGATACTATAATACAGTAAAAATGTTGCAAAACTGGGTGGAGTGCATATAACCGGGAGTTGCATGTATCGCGTTGACTTCATTGGTTGATACAATAGTGACTACAATAGACTCATTTGGTGAATGCGTGTGACTGTTGGTGTGTTAGTGCGCCAATAGGTGTCTCTGACACGTGTTTGCAGTGCAATAATGACTGCCAGTGTGTGACTGACTGTAAGCTGAAATGAAGTTCTCATTCAATTGTTGTGTAGAGAGAGTGATGGTATCCCTCCTCCCGACACATCTCTGTCCACAATCACTGCACTGTAGTGTCTGTGAGACCATATGATGGACGCCAACAAACACTCCATTCACAAACTATTCCTCTTCAGTCCCATCGATGCCAAGGATGACATCGAGGAGGTCTGAAACTAACCATATTTTGATCATTCATTACATAAGCCATTCATATAATGCTAAACAAAGGCATCCATTAGTGCATTGATTGCTGTCAACAGATGGCACTCAACACTCTTAACGAACTTTAACTTTCATTTAATTGTCAATCTATTGATTCACTAATGGTTTCCCAATTTCCACACTTTTGTTGACCAGAAATACGAGAGATGTTTACTCTTTGTCCAAAACCTCATTAATGGTAAATCAGAAAAAGAAGGTCACGAAGAGCTCACTTCCACTGTAAGCCCATTGATTGCATTGACTCTTGAGTTTGATTTGAATTCAATGATCCGTTCATTTAAAGGCAATAAAGAGTACCACAAGTCATGAAGACGTGTGCATCGGACTCGTGGTCACAATACTTACGGATTCTTCCAGTGCTCAGAGGGTAAGCACTGCTCGACAATTGTCTTAAGTTTTCATAAGTAAACAACTATTGGTTTGTCTTGTATTCAGCACTACAGAGATCTAACTTATGTGACCAGAGATGGTATGACATATGTGTTAAATGTGTTGAACCAAATCGCTTGTGACAAGTATCACAAACTTCACGACTCATCTAGAAATCAAGTGAGCCGTCGATGAACTCACGATCTAATGGTTTTCATCATTGAATTGTATTTTATATTTGCAGTTAATATGGATTCTAAAAGAAATGATCAAAACTTCTGTTACTGGAACCGATGGGCTGGTGATGAATCTGTTGCGACAGATAATTGGCGGCGATATATCACCGAAGAATGTATGGCTAATTGAGACACTCCTGGATATACTGGTGGAGAGTAGGCAATGGTTGGAACAAATATCCTTTTTGGTGGCTTCGGTGGTCTACACATATCTGCGGCTAATCGGCGACCACTCGAACTCTCTGTTAGTGAAACTGAAACAAAAAGAAGTGGACTTTTGTTCATCACTTCTTAGGGAGAGATTCGCCGATTGTATTCCAATCGGAAGAGATTTAGTAAGACTTCTGCAAAATGTGGCCCGAATTCCAGAGTTTGAGAAGATTTGGAGGGATTTGTTCTCTAATCCGACGGTTTTTGCACCGAATTTTGGCGGAATTCATCAGTTGATGAAAATCAGAACTTCGCGAAGATTTTTTCAGTCCAGATTAACCCCGGATATGGAGCGCAAGATTGTCTTCCTCACGTCTCAGGTGAAGTTCGGCCAACAAAAGCGATATCAGGATTGGTTTCAACGGCAATACCTGTCGACCCCCGAGAGCCAAACGCTGA